AAACCGTCGCGCGTTGCTCGGACGAAATTCGAGACTGAGCTCTCTCTCTCTCTCTGCAATTTCGCATGCCACACGAACCGGCACGATAGCCTTAACATTTATTAGACCAAGTTTATCAGAATTTTTCGGTCGCACGCATTATTCAAGGAAATGGCAACGATATTTCATGTCACTTTTTTTACACGCGACGTTATGTTTTACGCTACAAACACCACCGTGTCTGAATAATATTCGAGGTATCCGTTGCTTTTTTTCTCGAATACTTAACAATCTCACGATGCACGAATATGCAGACATTCATAAATTTTAATGGACCTAGAGCTTTGAAGGCGAATTCGTTTAAAAAAGTTCACGTGCGTTCGTTTAAAACCTGCCACGTGTACTTTTTTCCGCAAAGAAGATAAGAAACCGAAAAAAGTCCGTAGAAAAGTGGGGGAGGGGGTATTTTCCGAAACTTCAAAATTATACCGCGCACTTTTGCGAATCAGCTTCAGGAAAATATTCATCGAAATAATTCAAATTGAGAGTTAAACTCAAATTCAGTCGATTGTACAAATCGAGCTAATTGATTTTTACAAAAAAAAAAACATTTGTTGCTCTTTTAATCTTTAGTTGGTGAAAGTACAAACTCAATATCTAATTCCACGAAACGATCATAAAGCAAACACATTTATCGGTCGTGTTCACCGTTTACTTAACCCGTAAGAGTGGGCGCGTGAATATTTGAGGAATAATACAAGTGCTGTTTATATCCTATTTATAACCGAGATTCTCAAATGTTATTGACTACTTCACTAAATCCAAGATAAGTAGTAGAGGCAAGTTACTGAGACTCTTATATTAAGAGCGCCAATGTGTAGATAAAAACGAAACAGAGAAACATTCGTTTGTTCATGCGTCTGTGGATCAATTTGACCCCCACGCGTCCACTTACAGATTAATCTTTTACCAGAGGCAAAATTACACTCCTATTATGCAAACATCTTGATAGTTGGAAGAACGTCTACATTACACACACACACACACACATACACAAACGTGACTACGTTTAAGTTTCATCCAACTTTTACCGCCGCTAAATTTCGTAGTTAAAATTAAAAAGATCGAGGTATCCGTTGCTTTTTTTCTCGAATACTTAACGATCTCATGATGCACGAATATGCAGACATTCATAAATTTTAATGGACCTAGAGCTAACATTCCCATGTCTCGATCTGACTCAACTTTTATTCGATTTGCAGTTTGCGTAACAAAATTTCCGTAACCCTGAGACTTAGTTCTTTTCACCTGATTTTTTTTTTAGCGTAAGTATTAAGGTTATCGTACTGGTCTGCATGGCAATTTTGTGCTTACCTACCATGACACGATCGACTGTCTTGACGCACGCGACAACTTCGCTTCGTTAATTATCCCCTTTGTACACGTCGTTACTCTCGCTCCATTTTTGTATCGCATTAGTTGACTGGTAAATGCCAACGTAAGATCGGCAACAGGCTATTCGACATATATAGTAATCTTATCGCGAAAACTGACCGTAATTACGTTAAAGTCGAGCGCACTGTTTAGCAGCCGGGTCATGAGGCAAAACGCTGACGATGTTTTATATGCGGTTTATTATAAACCAGTATAAACGACCGTGTGTACGTTTATTATAGCATTTATTTCGCAGCTTCTTTTCTCACCCTTGCTTTTCGTCTCTCGTCTGTGTAATTGCGACGAAAATAACGAGCCAAGAAAAACGCGCACACATTTCTTCGTCGTCAAATCGCTGTGGAGCGGTAATCGATTTTGTTTTCGAACAGAAAACAAGTTTCTTCGAACGCTTTTTTTTTCTTGGGCGTTTTGTGTGAATGTACACAGAAAAAATAGTCTTATATAGAGAATAGACATTCTCATGTATAAATAAGAATATTATAATCTTCTTAGAAGATTTTTAGTCTTGAATTGATTGAATTTATATTGATGCAAGTATTACTTGAACTCAATTCAAGATTAAAAATCTTCTAAGAATATTATGATATTCTTGCTTATATATGATAATATCTGTCTCGATTTAAAACTAATTTCTTTTCCGTATAATATTTCCGACTTGAGGAATTAAAAAAATTTTCCGATTTCCGGAGCACGTTGCGTATTACTTTACGGCAACAAGGAGAAAATAACGAAACAATTTCTCAATTTAGCGCATAGCTGAGGGCGGTAAGCGTTAAAAATTTTCAGCGCGCATAAAATTATATAAATGAGAGTAGGTCGCGATTATTCAGCGAGGAGGTGCGGCTTAAAAGTTCAACGAGTACGACGGTCTCGAATCAGCTGTTTGTTTTCAATGCCGACGGTGCGCCGGTACACCGCGTGTCCCGCAAAAGGCGTGCAGCGTGAACGCTTCGTAAACTCCTTAGGTGTGCGTTACCGCGTACAAACGTTCGCGAAAGTCGTCCCCGAGACGGTGAGATCGTATTTAAAAACACCTGTTGATCGAATCCCGAGCAAGAAGGATTTCGCGTCTCCTCGGTGGATGTTTCGTGTTCCTTTCTTTTGCCTCGCCGTTATTAATAGAAGCCGAACGCTCTTGCTCACAGTCGCTCGTTCCGACGCATCGGCTTTATAATTAAAGATACTCAATACGACGGACTACGCGGAATAGCCGTGCCGATGGAATAATTATAGGCGCGTTCACGTATTAAAATACATGGCTGCTCAAGATCTTCCGGCAGCGTCCGTGCAAAATTAAAACGCGGCCGATGAATTTTGCCGACGAGTGTACACACGCGCTCCTACTGTCGTGTACCCAGTGGAAGTGATTTGATCGTTAGCAAGTTTTACGGAAAAAGAGAAAGAGAGAGAGGGAGAGTTGCGTCATATCGGACGGATGTAACGTGCCATACGTCACGGTAATAATTGTCACCGTAATGATACCGGTAGCGGATTACACATTTTTATACATTGTATCAGCGCGTGTAATTGGCATTCCGCCGCGTGGTGCTCTCGATAAGACACTACGGTAAATTTCCCCGTCATACTTTCGAGAGATAAGGCGCCGATAATAATAAAGCAATGTCATAAAGTTGTACGTCTCTTTGCAGAATACGATATCGCTCAGGCTAATTCATATGCTTCACTTTCAAGTACATGTGTACATGTTTATACATCGCACCGATTTGTGATTTATGTACATACACAATTTCTTCCGTGATGTCTGCAAGTACAGACAGGAAGAGAGAGAGAAAGAAAGAGAGGGGGGAGGAGATAAAGTGTTTATCGACATTCTAGGCTTCTGAGAACGTTTAATACAATAACAATATAATAATACTATTATGATACATGAAGACATTAGTGTGCAGAAAAGAAAAGGAAATATATGAGGTGTTCGATAACTTTTTCGGGATCCGTGGTGTGCAGGTAGAATGGATGAAACTAAATAGAAAAGTCAGGTGCTATTTTGCAAAATTTGTAATAGTTAATGAAAAAATAATTAATCTGTATGAATTAACGAGCGTACGGGAAGCGGTAGGCCGGACTGCATCATTTGATTTCTAGAGGCGAAGTAACGCAGCGAGCGGCATGTGTAAAGAAACACGCCTCTCGCTATCAGCTGATACTTATCGTTGCTAGGAGATCTTCAAATAAGCCATTTTGCTTTACACAGTCCTAGTCTATAGTTTTAAAAGCTCGGAAAAAATTCGATCTCTTTCCGCGGATGAATGAAAAAGATTGGAAAAACCTGATTTTCCAATTTTTTCCTAAAGATTTTTTCGGTTTTTTTTTTCTTTAAAAAAATTGAAGAAAGCTATAGTTTTTTAAAACTATAATCTAGCTTATCACTTTCTGTGCCCTTATCAGCTCATGCGGATCAATTAATTCCTCATTAATGATTACGAATTTTGCAAAATGATAGATGACTTTCTCGTTTAATTTCACCCGTTCTACCTGCACAATACGGATTCCGAGAAAATTATCGGTCACCTTGTATATGTATAAATTTTGACGTATAACAGATTAAATTAGATCAAGCGTGATATCAATTTGTAGTCGGTCGGGTGTGCAGCCGAATGAGGAGTCTGTTTCTAAAACTCGCTTCACTTTTTCTAAAAAGGAGAGATATAAAAAGTGTGAGAGAAAGGGGGGAGGGGAGGCGCGAAACGCGAGAAGCGAGAATTGTGCGTGAAATCACGGAGCAGAAGCGGCGGCCTCTTCTTTGCACGCGCGCGCGATCCTCGCCGGCGATTCCTCGTATCGCGCTACTCAAACGGCGAAATTATCAGTGATAAAGCTGCGTTTTTTCGACTTTGCTCCTGCGTCGTCACGTGTCCGTGCGCGCGGGGCTCGGTCGTGCCTCTCGGAGCTCCGGCCACGAGCCCGCCGAATAGCGTTTTACGTCACGCGCTAGCACGCGGTAAACAAGCATTCGCGACGAGAAGCGGACTAACTGGCGGTCGGCCAGGGATTCGCGTTTCATCGCTTAACGTTTCGCTATTCCTTTTCGTCTTGTGATATCTCGCGTCTACGTAGCGTACAATACACGTCTGCCGCGTGACTCATACGACGATCTCTCACGCCCTCTCTCTCTTTCTTTCATAGCGGAGCAAGGTACTCTCCTCGAGATTCGCTTGCACGGCTGCTGTCACTCGATCGTAGCTACGTGTCCTTTGCTTTCTTCCGGTCGGGTATGTTCGAAAGGGAATCGCAAGATAGCACACGTTGTTACGGGGATAGGCGCGTCACTGGCGCATTGCGGTAAGTGGCGAGTACATACGCGCGCTCTCTATTTCGTGACCGTCGCGAATCGCGTCTCGGCTATAGTCACGCGTTCCGCTGTGTGTGCACGCTATACGTAGCAGCGCTCTACGTGCGCCGCTATATGCACATTATCGCTATAGGTTACCGCGGGAGAGAAAAAGAGAGCGACGTGTACGTGGGGAGCGAAAGAGGGGGCGCGGCGAGTATCCGACTTGGCGGATCGAAAAAGAGCGAACCGGCGATAATTCGATGTTCCTTTTCAGGTTCCCCGATGGAGAGTTCCGGCGGCGATAAGCAGAACGAGTCGGACGAGTGCGACGTGAACAGCGACAACAGGAAGCGGGAGGACGACACGACCGGCCAGAAGAATGTCGAGCGGAAGATGAAAGCGGAGGACGAGCGGGAGACACCCCGGCGGAAGAAGACCGCGGAGAAGCTGGAGATCAGCGCGGAGGGCGAGATGAAGGGACAGATGAAGACGCTGTCGGCCGACGACGAGGAGGTCGACGAGGAGGACGAGAAGAGCAAGGCGTCTCTCGTGGACGAGGAGGAGCCCAAGGAGGAGACCAGGAGCGCCGGCAAGAAGGAGGAAGAGTCGTCCAGCGACACCACGTCCACCAGCACCTCCGACGACGAGTCTGAGACGAGCTCGGAAGACAAAACGGAGCCGTCCAAGCCGACGGAGAACACGACGACGACCACCACCACCACCACGGCGACGGCTCAGGCGGAAACGAAAGAGGAGGGAGGACGGCAGGAGTCGAAGGACAACAAGAACGAAGACACCACGGACGACAGTGACATCGAGGATGACCTGGTCTCGGCGATCAATTACAACACCATCACCTCCCTGGCGGCGCTCAAGGACATGCTGCAGTCCTCCGGGGAGGACTCGGACGGCGTGGACAGTTTCTTCCAGCATTACTTTCTGTCGCACGTCAACAGGCTGCCGTCGCGGAACCAGACCCACAGTCCGTATCCTTGGGGCAGGAGGCTGTCGGAGTGTCGGGAAGAGGACGAGTACGAGACCGAGGAAGGTGGGGAACCACGCGATCGTTGGTTATCTCGCGCGAAAACTACCGCCGCGGGCAATTACGTGGAGGAAAGCCGTGTAGGGGGTTGCGAAATATAAGCTATTACGAGCAGCTCGTCCAATGAGAGCTAAGATTAGCGCGCGGCAACGTGCGTTTGGCAACGCGCGGCGCGAAAAGTCACTCCACTTAGGTAACGATCGCTTAGGTGTATTTATAAACGCGTTTCGCTCCGGAACGGAAGATGCGTGGCGAGGCATCCACGCGACGACGCGATGATACCTGTCTGGAATCGAACTCACGCGACTGCCGTATCGCTCGCGATACACGTGGCGAGTATATCGACGTCGGAAATAAACGCGATAAGGTTTCGCTCGGTTGCGTCACCGCGGCGAAGTATCATACTCGACGCGTATCTTTCATCGTAAGCCGCCTTCTCGCGTATGGGACTTTCGTCGGCCAGCGTTAAAAGTGAACGCTCTCGATGCCCGCTCGAACAGCGTGCGGGCGTACGCTTGCGGGCGAGCGAGAAAGAGAGACCTTGAGCGACGCGATTCTCGTTCGCGTCGGCGCGAATTTTCCAACGTTTACAACGGGGTCACAGACGCGCCTTTGTGTCGCTCCTCGACCTTGGTGCGTCTCGTACTGCGCGCGAACCTAACGAATCGGCTAACGAAAGTCGTCGTGAGAATGAGAACAAGTCGCGCGATGACTTTTCCAGGGAAGAACACCGACAGTCCGAGCGCTGACAACAAGAAGGACGTGGCGAAGATGTCGCAGGGCGAGAAGGCCGACAGCGTCTCGTCGAAGACGTCGAAAGCCTCGAGCCCGTCCTCCTCGGAGAATTCCAGTTCGGAGAGGATCGATGAGAAATCTATGCCGACGTCCAGCGTCTCGGAAGCGAAGCCGCCGTCGCCGTCGTCGTCGTCGACGGTGGCGGTGGCGGCGACGACAGCGCCGGTGGCAGCGACCCCGTCGTCTTCGGTAACGAGCACGACCACCACCGCGACGACGACTGCCGCGACGTCCACATCGACGGCTACGTCCTCCGGCAGGTTCACCACGTCAACGGTGGTGACGTCACCGACCTCCACTACGAAGCCTCCTCTGAGAAGGAGGCACACCACCGGCCCGGGCATGACCTTCCCCGCCACCGATCCTCCAACGTATTCTACCAGCATGACCTTCTCGAGAACGAGCCCGTTGCCGAGTCCTCATCTTGATAAGAGATTCTTCGACAGTAGCCTGATCGAGATGAAGAGTCAGGCGAGCAGCAGCAGCACCCTCGATTACGACTCCACGGAGGAGGTGTGGGTGCGCAGAATCGACTTCGTGCAAGAGAGGAAACGCCGGGTGAGTGAGAGATACTTTCATTTTATTTCCAGGATATAATCGATCGCTCGCGCGCACTTTCGAAGAAATAAAGGATCTCGTAGAACGGAAGGTTGATGACGTCTCCTTCAAGGGGAACGTCGAGAGCCTCGAGAGCTCGTTGCTCTCTGAGAATTCTAGGATTCTCGGACTCTCGCCCCGTATCTTTGTCTCCTGATCCTTTGTCTCTTGACGATATCGCCGGTGCAAACTCTTGCGAAAGTAATCGCGTCGCTCATTCACGTAAGTGACCGATTATTTTCTTTTCTCCTCCTTTCATCGCGTCGCGATTATTTTTCTTCCGATAAGGAATATTTTGTAATGTTTTTTTTTTTTTATAATTTTTCCACGAATCTGCGCTGAATATACAAGGTGTTTTACGCGTGCCAACCGTCACATACTTGTAGTTTAGGTCAATGTGAACAAAAAAGTTTTCTACCATTTCGGGATTAACGCGAAATTTCGAGTTATTAATGATTGCAAATGGCACAGAAGCTTCTTTAATTAATAACTAAAAAATTTCGTGTTTTTTCACATTGACCTAAACTACAAATATGTGACGGTTAACATGCGTAAAGATACCCTGTACATGGCCACTTTCGATCATTAACAACTCGAAATTTAGTTTGGTGTTGCTTGCAAAATGATACAGAACTTTTTCGTTCATATTGACCTAAATTACAAGTATGTGACGATTGGCACGCGTCCGACACCCTGTATGTGGTGGGAGACGCTATCGCGCGTGTTGCCGACGCTGTCAACCATATCTCGCGCACCGTTAGTCGTTTTGCTTTCTCGGAGGAGGAATTTTTATCTCTTCTTTATTGGGAGAGGAGTGAGTCGTCGTTGCCCAATCTAATACATTTCCGTCGTGCGTCATCCTTTTAAGGATCGAAGAGTTAATGACATGTACATACGGTCGCGCCGCGTCGGCGTCGGTATTGATGTTGACGTCGACGTCGATGTCGACGTCCCAGTCGCCTCGTCTATAATTGCGCTAATTGACTAATTGCCGCAAGGAGATAGACAGAGAGAGGGAGAGTGTCTTGCAAATTTGTTTACCGCTAGATCACAGCGTGCGCTCTTACGAAAGACGGATCATACCAGCAATCCCGCCGTTCATTCGCGAGAACAACCGATTGTTGCGCTCTTTTTTTTCTCCCCTCGGGTCGCATCACGTTTATTCGTTAGTCGTGACGTAGCAAAAACGTCGGAAATGCGTTGTTCACTCCGCCGGGACGTTCCGACGACGCTTCGATGCGCTCGTGTATTAAAACACTATCAATCTGTCAATGATACACCTGTCACATCGCCATTGCACAGGTAGCACAATGCGAAATATCGGTTTCTTTCCCCTTCTGTCTTTCTCTCTACTTATACCCCATCGTATGGAAATTAGCCAACGTTATTCTTATTCCTAAAATCAAACGTCCGTCCATCGCTAGTGATTACCGTCCTTTCTTATCAATCCTTTATACAATTTTCAAAATCCAGGGAAAAAAATAGTTCACCATTCAATCATTCGCCTTTTTGAATCATCATGATCTTTTCAATACGATCCTTATCGATCAGGCTTATAAGTCGGTATTCATAATCGGATCTTATATTTAAGACCGCCTTAATTCATATTCAGATACTTGATACTCAATGAAGTGAACCGTATAACATCTGAAGGTCTGATGATCTTAATGATCTAAAAAATCGGACTATGAATACCGACTTTTAGAGAGGGATTTAGTACACAGACAGATTGTCCTTGTGAAATTCACGGATGAAGTGAGAGATGTTATTGATAAGCATATAGTCAATATACTACTTCAATTTGATCTATCGAAAGCCCTCGCACATATATTGCTGCTGAGGAAGTTATCTTCTTATCTCTCCCAGTGTCATTCGTTGGATTGAATCTCATTTGACAGATACGAAACAAAGGATCGAAACAAAGGATTCGACGGCAATTTTTCTTCCTGATCCTCAAACCAGGCGAGTGGTTCCTCAGGGGTCGGTCTTAGAGCCGTTGTTGTTTTCTTTGTTTATAAATTACGGATCTATCAGGGATACAGAAAACAAGAATTGGACGGCTCATAAATTCCTCTATTCGTTTTATTTTTGACCCAGCGACGAACACATATCTCCATGATACGATTCACTAAAATGGTTCGATTTAGAGGAAAGGAGGAGTCACCTTGTGCTTCGTTTCTTATTCACCGTAGTCGAGACCAAAATCCCATATATATATTTAACAAGCTACAATTTATAGACTAGCCATCAATATTAGATCTCGTTTCCAACTGTGACTTAAGTCGGTATTCATAGTCGGATCTCATATTTAAGACTGTCTTAAGTTTATTTTCAGATACCGTTTCATTAGCTACGAAGCATCTGATGGCGAAATTAAGACGGTTTTAAATGTAAGATCCGATCATGAATATCGCCCTTAGTACTGCCTGCATGCCTTACCTCTATTTTCTAACTTTACTGTTAATTTATAATTTTCTTTACTTTGTCACTACACTTATGTTACAAATTGTCTCGTATTTCCGCGATATATATAAAAATGTAAACACGTACATCCACTCTTAAGGATTTCTTTATTTTCTCCACATTTTGTATTCTCTTTCTTTTGTTTATTCTGTTAAATATTAGTTAAAATTGTATATATTACTGTATTATTAACTAAATTGTAAAATTTAGAGGTTTTTAGAAGATATACCCTAAAATAAATAAATGCTTCTCTCTCTCCCCCTTTCTTTTACGATAGCCCTTTCGATTGTGTATTCTCTTTAGGTATTTTCCATTTCAAAACAGAAAAGAATAGTACGGGTGAATGGCCGTAGTTTCCAAAGGTCGTCGTCGACACGCGAGGTCGCGGCCGCGATCAACCGATCGTACTTTTCACTAATCGATTGGGGGGTTTTTTTTTTCTTCCGTTGAAACACGTCGTCCTACCGCGATCGTGAAACTCGAAGTATGCGGTTCAGAAGGCCACGATCGCCGTAACTTTGCGAACGTGCCCTTGACGCGATCTCCTCGCACGTTAAGGTACTGCGTTAAGGTACTGCGAGAGGCGATGTAAGATCGCGATCGTTAAGAGACGACTCGTGGCGTGCAACTTCCGTAAACAACGGAAGGTTAATGACCGACGTTAAACGCGCGATCATCATGATAGTGCACGCCTTCGTGAAAGAAAGGTAGGATGAATCGACCGCAGGGAACTCGAGAGCTTTTATCTTCTTCTTGTTCTCCTTCCTCTTCTTCTTCTCCTTCTCCTTCCCCCTTTCCCCTGAAAAGGGCGGATCACCTTGGCGATCTCGATGTCCGAGACTCGGGTCGGCTAACAGTCTCTTCCCGAAGACACGACGATAACCTTTCATCCTGTGAAATATAGTCACGTTATATCTCATTATTTTGAGAAAAAATGGAGAGAAAAAAAGAAAGAAGAGACAAATGCACCGTGTAATTACTTTTTTACGTTACATCTCGACACTGTTATTGATAGATCTTCGTCGTATCACGAGAGCACGGAATAAAAAAAATCTATATATAGGATGTTCATTAAATACCCAGCCATATTGAAGGGGACAATTCTTTGGTTTATTTCAAGTGAAAAAGTTCATATAAACATGATATTTCAAAAAATACAATAACCGAAAAAAGTGAAAATTAAAAATGAAATAATTAAATGGTTGAAAATGACCACCCTCCGCCATGATACACTTTTCGGTCCTCCTTCTCCAAGATTAATGTACACGTTCAAAGATATCAAGTGTGCGAAGAATTGAAGTCCGTCTTTGTATTTTTCTTTACTGCTCTTTTTGTTTTTCTTTTTGTGACAGACACTTCAGGTAGATTATTACGAGTTTAAATTTGTTTGAAAACACCCTATATTTCGGAAACTAAGCCGTTCAGGACACGTGTTTACACGAACATTTTTACTTGAAATAAACCAAAGAATCGCCTCCTCGAGTATGGCTGGCTGAATACCCTCTGTATGCAAATCTCGGAAATACAGAGAGAAGGTATTATTTTCAGCAGCGATATTTTATCATTTGTATGCCATGCGTTCGTTAATCCGCCTCGACCGTTTGGCGCGGGCGAATTTGCAGAACTGTCGCGCAACGTTAAGCAGCATTCGCGTATCCCAGAATCGATCCTCGCGAGCGGTGTATCGCGGTGGGAGGGACGCCTCTACCGCCGGCGTTTCAATCGCGTTAAAGAATTCAGAGTATAGCCGCTTATATATTCGTTGGTCTCTGATCAACTTAGCGACGTGACTCGTTTTAGCCGCGGGTTTCAGCGTTGTCGAACGAAGAGATTCCACCGCGGCTCGCCGGGGACTCAAGCGCTCTATAGAGCCGATATAAACTCAGAATCACGCACCACGTCGCTGTTCTACGCGAGAGACAATTGTTATTCGTGTTTATGCGTGAGTCTCACGTCTATGCGCGGTTACACCTTGCACTGGGAAATTACGTAATTTCTCGTGCCGTTGTCCAATCCGTGCGCACGTTAATTAATAAGAAACACCGAGATTCGCGAAACGATAAGCGGGCTTATTATCGCGAGTCTTCGATTATTCTTACACGCATCCGGCCACGAAAAATTAGCCTCGCCCCACTTTTGCCGATCGCTGACGTTCTCGCCGCCGTTGAAAAACGACGATGAGAAATTAGATCGTGCGTGTGTTTCTTTTCTTCTCTCTGTTTAAATATCGCGTCGTTTGTGCCCCAGATATCTCGACGTAGCGATTTGACGTCTAACGCGGAAAGGGTAAGGCGAAGTGGTACAAGGCTTCCTTTAAGCTCTATCGATTCGCTCAAAAGAGGAATCGCGCGATGCCGCGAGCGACTCTCATGACGAATATTTTCACGTGTCTACCGGCTAAACGGCTGTGCGGCCGACGTTGTCGTCACGTGCGGGAAATATTAGAACGCGATATGTGACAGCGAAGCAAAACGGAACAGCTCCGGTTGAAGTCGCGC